GAACATTATACAATTAGCTATAACTACATTAATTATAGTGTGTAGTGGAGCTTCGAGTTAGATTAGATTATACAGCTGGTAATTCTGGAAAGTATTTGAACATAGATGGGGGATAATTTAGACACTGCCTATGCTTGTACTTGTGTATATATTATAATAAGAGTAAGAGGAGAGAAGAACACGGAGGTCGGGTAGGGAGATAAGGAGGGATAATGATGAAGAGAGAGAGAGGAGAGAAAATGGTGAAAAGAGAGAAAGATAAGGAAAATAATTAGAGGTCATTTTGGAGATAGGGAGAAAAAAATAGAGAGAGAGAGAGAGAGAGAGAGAGAGAGATCATATTTCCTCTCCCTCTCACAGCGATAATACAGATGGAACGAGAGAAAATAAAAGAGAGAGAAAAAGAAAGGAAAATAAGACAGGAAAGGAAAAAAAAAAGAGTCCTATGGTCACTCTATCTCTCTTTCTTGTCTCTCACTCTTTCCCCTGCTGGTCGTTCCACTGGTTGGTGAGCGTAAACTCCGCCAAATACCTGCTACTCACTCAACGCAGACCGCGAAAGTTTTCTATATGTTCCTTATGACATAACTGCAGGTGGCTAAGAGACCGCGGGCTTGAGAGAGGGAGAGTTAAATAGATGGAAAAACTGTGTGGAAAAAGAGGTAGAGAGAAGAAGAAAGTGGGACGGAGAGATTGATAAAGATTTAATAGGTAAGAGAGAGAGAGAGAGAGAGATTCATATGGCCTTCTAACATTAGCTAAAGTGACGTATACAACCATAAGCATCCATCTTGTTTGTTTACTCCAGGTCAGCTGATCGAACGTCAACACATCCCCTTCATAGACCTCTCCTGGTGGTGACGTTGAGCCTCCTGGTGGGGGAGTCTCTCTCCATCACCAACCTCTACGACCCTGTGGAGGATAAGGTGGTGAGGCTCTACGATGAGGAGTACCAGAGGGGTAACTACACTACAATATACTGGCATGAGTCTCAGCTTGTAGATTCCTGGGCTAGTCTACATCAGAGTGGCATGTGAGTTATCATTATCTTACTACTATGTACTAACTATTGTACTAATAGGTAGTTTACAACAGAGTGTACTAATGTGCTAATATGTATTGTAGTTGGATGTATTAACTAATGGACTATCATGTATTAAACTTTGGTGAACCTGATTTACTAAACCTTGGTCTAACTAACGCACTAACATGTACTCAACCTAGATGCACTAACATGTACTCGACCTAGATGTACTACCTAACGCACTAACATGTACTCAACCTAGATGCACTAACATTACTCGACCTAGATGTACTACCTAACGCACTAACATGTACTTAATCTTGTAGATGCACTAACTAACGCACTAACATGTACTCTCAACCATGATGTACTAACTAATGTACTATCATGTACTACCATACCACAGTTGGGTGTACTACAGCGAGCAACACTTCCAGGGTAAGAACGTGACGGTGGTGTTTGGTGATGACCTCGCTATCAACATGCATCATCCTGTGGTACGTTATCACCTCTCAATATTTTCCTCAGTATTATCTCAACAGAACCGACAACACCTACAGAGGCGGAAAGATTAATCCCTGAAATAACTTTAATTATATTTGTGACGTAATTCTTAGCTGACCTAACCTAACCTAACCTCTTGAATATAGTGATTTAAGTCATCGCCTTCAATACCTGTTATAACTGGGGGACATTAACTGTACATCTTAACTCGGAACACCTACATTATAACTCGGAACACCTTCATCATAACTCGGAACACCTACATCATAACTCGGAACACCTACATCATAACTCGGAACACCTTCATCATAACTCGGAACACCTACATCATAACTCGGAACACCTACATCATAACTCGGAACACCTACATCATAACTCGGAACACCTACATCATAACCTGGAATATTAATTATACATCTTAACTGTGAACATTAACTGTAGGTGTGAGTGAGGGGTGTTACAGTCACTAAAGAGCCCATGTGTTATGTTACAGGGGTCGGTGAGATACGCTGGGAACGCTCGCCACAGGACCCTGCCAGCTGTCCTCCTGTATGATCAAACCTGGTTCAGAGGCCACGAGTTTTACGTGGAGGTAGGCTCTCTCTCTCTCTCTCTCTCTCACACCCTGTACCTCTAACTCTGCATCTTTTTAATATATTTTTTATTCAGAATATATTAGTTAGTATTAATAAATGTTGTTTCTCTGCCTTGATAGTAAATTTCTCGGTTTTTATTGTTTATTTTTTTAATTTGTTGATAACAGTTTCCCATGTTTTTTGACCTCATAAAATTTTTCAATGTTTTTTTTTGGCCTCAAAATGTTTTCCATGTTTTTCGAGTCGTTAATAAATTTACCTTCTTCTGTGGACAGCTGGGTGATGAGGACGGCCTGCTCTTGGTACCAAACTTCCGTACACTGGGCATGAACGCTCAGTCCCTCATCATCGTCGGTGCTGAGTGGACATTCTTCAGGTAAGATGATAAACACTCGTGGATTAGCCAAAGGTGTGTAAGTACAACCTATCATATACCCGGATGACTTGCAAGAGATGTTATCATTGGCTCGGGATCGCTGTAGTAGTGTTCAAACATGAGCTCCTCATGAATGTACAATAGTGCAGTGCTCCCAGCCAATGATTATATCTCAAAAGGTTCACCTATGGTTATGATTGGTTGTGTTGAGACGCCGCTGGCTGGCTTATCTTCCAAGAACTTAATGCCAACATGTTTACAATTGAATTAGTATTAATAGTACAATTTATTATTATTATTTGTAGTAGTAGTAGTAATAGTAGATACAGTCTTATTCGAGTTTTTTAATGAACATATTCACCAGGAAGATAAAGTGAGAATTTATAGTTTTTATAGGGTGTAAATATAATTATTAACACACACTGAGTACAAGTGTAGTACAGTATGTAGAGTACCAATGTGTATTATAACTTTATTTTACTAGTTCAACGGCGGGGGTAAAGGGAACTCTTACACGATAAACTGCAGATTATTGGCATGTTCTCTAACTAAACCTTAACACTGGGTTGGGTACTCGTAATTATGTCGACTGTGGGTGGTTGAGGATCGCCGCACCGCTACCTCCTACTCGGCCCTGTACTTAGGCGGATAGGATGAATCGTCAGTTTCATCGTCAATGGCCTAGGGTGAGACTTGGTTGCACTATCATTGGATATCTTCAGTAGTACAGTTGGTGGTTTGACGTGCTGGTGTTTTTGTCTGAACTTATCATTAGAAAAAAATACAATATCGAATTATGTTCTTTACTATAAATTGACCAGGATAAGAGAGGTCGGTGTTTCGTTGGTCCATAACTGTCGTCCACATATATTAACGACAGGGAAACAGTCTACTACAGCCGGACCCTCAGAAATCTGTGAAGGTTTCAAATGGCGGACAAAAGGTAGAATAGTTTAGCGATTGTTAGGTCATAAAATGGTAAATTGATTTATTTACATTGAATTTCGTTAATGAGGGTCAATTTATAGTAGAGGACATAATTTCGATTTTGGTTTTTGGTGTTTTAATAATAAGCTCAGACAAACAAGACGATTTTCATCCACGACATTTTCGGCGCATTTTACCCATCACCGAGACATGAGGAGTTGAAAATCAGAAAACAACTAGAAATGTTACCAACTATTACATTTGTTACCGCCAACCGAATCTCGTATTTTTTATCTGCAAATAATAGTTTAGGCAATTCTAAGACACCTTTCTTCTATGACGCCTCCCTCACAAACGACTCAGTTGACTAGCTTTTTTAGTAGGGTTTGATAGTTTGGGGGAAGGTTCATAGGGCTTCGAGTATATGTCTCTTAAGCTAATCTAAAGTTTACACCTCGGGAAAGAAACAAGAGAGGGCAGAGTGGTGGTGGTTTTATTCTGGTGTTTGTGCTGACCGGTGTGGTGCCTCAGTTCTCCGCCCTGTGCCCTGTCTTTGCTGCTCAGGAGTCGTGGCCGAGGATTGAACGACTAGTGTTGACAACTCGGGGGGGGATGTGCACGTGTCTGAAGGTGTTATGTGTAAAGAATGGCTCCCGGGTTGTGGTTGTTGGGAGGACACCGCGGCTCCAGGCAGTGACGTTCATCGGCAGACGTATCTCAGCAACCAAACTAAGTACCAGACTATTCACCTTTATTAACATTTATTAGGAATCTGTTAATGTATTTCGCTACTTAAGATATATTAGGCTATTACTCCGCAAACGTCAGCTGAGTACAATGATCAAAGTAACTGGTTAGGTTAGGTTAGGTTAGGTTAGGTTAGGTTAGGTTCTTTGTTACGTTTTTATTCCACGTTTTCCCAAAGCTTCAAAGCCCTGCCCACCAAAAGGTCAACATTAACAGGGTAGGAAGGGTCATTATGCATTCGTCAAACTTTCATTACCAACACTGTACACCATTTTTCACTCTGAATCGACTTATTTAAATAAATATCGTCAAGGTGATGATTTCTCGACATGACAACCCCAAGAACTTTGTAGTGTAATTTTAAGGTCAAAAGGTCGGAGATGAAGGTCAGAACTTCGAAAAAACCCACCTTACCCCATCCTACCCCCACCCCACCCTACCCTAGTACCCCACCCCACCCCTCGACATGGGTTGGCATTCCCCTCGAGTGCAGTCAAGTCCAAACCTACACTTAGGTACACTGCTCGGCGATAAACACAAGTAGGCTACTGAGATGATAGTCTTTCTTAGGTATTAACGTGTCTTGGTACACCACCTCCGGATTATCTTCTATTTCGCACGTAAAAGTTAATATATATTGAGTTTGTACATTATGAAAACCTCAATACTGTATTATATTTCGTTGTCTTCAGTGCTAGGAGGGCTTAAGTATGATTGGGCAAAAAATATTGTTCGCTAGTCTATTTAATGTTGGAATACTTTAATACTTTGAGTTGAAATATTATGAAAAAAGTGAGTGTTTTATGACGAGAAATTATAAATGAAAGCAATTTAACGTAGGTGTTTTTGTTTACGACTCTTTCAAGCCTTTAGCTGCCAAAATGCAGGGTGGCTGTCATCACCAGCTGGTCCGAGACTCAACTTGTTTTAATGTGTTTATGTGTTTGAAAAGTTATCTTTAAGCCCCATTCGTTATGTGAGTTTCTTCTTTCGACAACAACATCTTTTAAAGATTTCCTCAAATGCTCCAGAAAATGTTTGTTTCACAGTTATTCATCCATTGTTTCTGAAGCTGAGGGACTACTGCCTATATACGCAATCTCTCCTAAGGGATGCTCGCCCCCCCCCCTCCTCCTCACTATACCTAACTGTGAATAAATAACCTAACATAACCCTGACAAGTCATATATATACGAGTTTACTTCCATTAACAAATATGATTTATGGCCCAAAATAGTTTGAAATAAGTTAAAATTTTCTTTAAATGAGTGAAAAAAAAACCCAGGAAACTGAAGGGAGAAAAAGGTGAGACTAAATGTAGAGCTAGATAATAATAATGATAGAGAGTGTGTGTGTATTAGTGGCGTGTTATCATACTGTTTAGGAGCGAGGGAAGACGTGTGGTAACAGTAGAGTCAGAGGGTAATCTTAGCGCCATTTTGATCCCTATCGTGTTTTAGCCGGAGCGAGTTAGAGTCGTCCTCACTCCTCCTAGATGTAGTAATTTGAGATGAAAAATGAAACCCAAGTTATGTCAATCAATTATGGCTGAATAAAAAGTAGTCGAATAAATTTTAAGATTATCCTGGAGCAAAAACTTTGTAAAGGGTGAAATTTTGTCTTCAAATTGCGTCGATAATTATTTGAAATCTTATTACCGAATAATTGGAAATTGTTAATTTACCGGATTCTATTACTGATAGATGAAAAACTATGTCGATTACGGCTAAAAAAATCTTCATCGAATTGAAAATTAAAGCTAAGGCAGATTTTATTTATGATAGATGAAAAATTATCCACTAGAAAAAAAAAAGATTAAAATTCGAAATAATTACAAACCTGAAATATCACCCAAATTACATTACGATTAAAAAAAAATACGATACAAAATAAAACTAAATACTGAAGCTGATTTCAGTTATGATAGATGAAAAACATTATGCAAATTGAGTCATTAATAATTGGAAATGCTTGTAGATTAAAACTGGACAATTGTGTGGGTGTAGAAGATGGAAATAACAGGGTGTTGAACTATCAGATAAGGGAACCTGTTTGGCTGATTTTATAATTGTACAGAAGTTTTTGTCTTCGGACGTGTTTCTGTTGCTGGGGTTTTCAGGGGGGGGGTTTCACGAGGGTATCAGGGGGGGTTCAAGTGGCTTTCAGGAGGTGTTTTCTACTGCTGGGGTGTTCAGTTGGTTTCAGGGGTGGGGGGTTCAGGGGGTTCACTGGGGTGTTCTACTGCTGGGGTTTTCAGGGGAGTTTCAGTGGGTGTTTTCTACTGCTGGTATAAAAAAAACATTATAGTAAATGGCTTTATTGATACGCACACCATGCATATTATACGTGGTACCAAAAGACTTTCTGTAAACATTATACTTCACAGCAAAAACAGAAACAAAAACAAAACGTAAAGCAAACAAATTATAAAGTGAAGCCATTATCAGCCATTTCCTTGTCATCCAGTAAATGGCCCTCAGGTGGACACGGGAGAGACACTTTTCACCACACTGGTTCAATGGTGATAATTTGCGTCACTAGATTACAGGATATTTACATCTGCACTTCATTGCTTGTATATGTATCCTGTCTCTCTCTCTCTCTCTCTCTCTCTCGACTGCATCACTTCACAAACACCCAAATTAGGAGAAATATATTACTGAAATAAATTGGATCATACGCCATAAACTCAGTAACCGATAAATTACTTAAACTCGGATAAACACCGTACCGGATATATTTAAACTAAAGGTTATCCGTAATTGGTTTAAATGTTAAATCCTATTGCAGTGTAACTTGGCCACAATTGATCTATTTCTCGTGGGGGTTTTTTTTGGGGGGGGGGGATTAATTGCCCATTATAATATGACCTATTTATATATTTGTTTGTTTTTTACTTAATTGGTTTAATAATCTGTCCCTATTAAATGTTAAATGATCTTGTTATATAACTTAATGAGATTTATTTATTTATTTATTTGTTTAATTGATTTAATTCATTTATTTTTTATTTTTTATTTATTTATTTATTTATTTATTTATCTATTGATTTATTTGACGCATTTTAATAATAAGTAATACTTACCCTATTTATACTAATTTTAATTGTAATTGGTTAAAGATTAAATTCGGCTTATTATCGAATTAATATTTTGCATAATTACCTTTTTAATTCATTACCTGTGCATTACAAATCTCTATGGACGTTCACCCTAATTAAATATAAATTAAATACAATTAACTAAGGATGGGTAAGGCTATCAGCATCCATACATGACGTTATTCCCAGTTAATTTCACTCAATAGGAAGCTTAAGAAACGAACCA